TGTGTGTGTGTGTGTGTGTGTGTGTGTGTGTGTGTGAACAGTTTTTAATACAATAACACTAATCTAACGAGCAGGCCCATCACCAAGAATTTGAAAGGGAAGGTTCGTTTTTCTACCAATCTTAGTTATGCCATTTCTTGAAAAACTAAATGGGACGTTTGCACGATGGCGTCATTGACCTCTACTACCAGACTCCCTTGCACACTTTCTTTTGTTCAGTTAATTAGTACCAATTGTCTTACTATTCTCATGAGGGAATACAAATTTAAATGAGAAAGAAATTTCGCGAAGTATCTTGGTAGTGGGAGTCAAATGACGCCATCATGCAAACGTCCTATTAGCACTAAACTTTATTTTCTACTCCTAAAGTGAAGGGGGGGGGGGGTGTTTGAATCATAAAAGCACCCCTAGCAAGGAGCCTGATATGTATATGCATGTTTTCAGTAAAAGGTGAACTAGTAAATGTGGTATGTTTCCTAGTTGTCTAGGACACAGGGCCAATCAGAACACATGAAAGCAGGCCCAATCTAAAAGGGAAACAAACAGATTTGGTTAAGCATGGCATTTGTATTTGTCCCCTTTTTAGTTTGGTATTCAATTTTTACCTTTTTTGTAGTTCCAAATATCCAGAGAAAACAGGAAATAATAATAATAAATTAGGGCTCGCAAGGGATGCTGGTCTAATATAAAAATTGATCCTCCGAAAAAAATGTGCTTTGAAAAAAAGTGTAACTTCAATAAAAATGTAACTTCCGAAAAAAAAATTACCTCCGAAAAAAAAGTACCTCCTAGAAAAAGTACCTCCGGAAAAAAGTATCTGATAAAAGTAAATAAGAAAAATTTTTTGTGTGTGTAATCAGAGAGCCAAAAAGTCGTACTATACGAAAATTCAACTACTTAATTTTGGCGGTAATTACGCACCATACGATTCCTTAGGGATCGGTCATTATTTATAGCTTGGGGGAGGATTTTTGTTGCAACATCATAAAGATTAGAGAGTTTTAGATTGACTTGTTTTTCTCCCCGCAAACGGCAAACGTGACCACGTTTTCATCGTTTTCCTGTATTTAACTTAACCTCTTGCAAACTTTCTCACCAAAGACAAATATTGTTTTGTTTTTCTACTACTTGAACTTTTTTGCGATTCTTTCTCAGCTATTTACATTGTCAAATAATTTTTCACTGGTCAACTGACGCTTCACGTTTGCCGTGAACGTAAATCTAAAACTCTTTATTAACTGATCCCTTCATGTGATTCCCCTAAATTCTCCAAAACCCCCGCCCCCTCAGGCGGATAATTAATAAGCGGTCCCTTATTATCAACGTGACTCCCATTTCACTAATAAAAACGAATGCACGACATCAGTTTTGTTTTTTTTAATTTAAATCTTTATTATACGAGGGTAACATAATTTACTTCTCACTTATCTAACTTATTTCCCTCGAAAATGAAAAAAAAAAACAGTCATAACTAAATGAACCATTTCACTACATTACAGTGCAAAGCGAAAAACCATGGAAATATTTCAAAAATGTTTCTTAACAATCAGAAGCGTTATTGTTATCTTTTTTGATTGGCCAAAGAAGAATAGAACATTCCTGTTATATTTCTAAGTGCCCACGGTTTTTCGATTTGCACTGTAACAGTTCCCTTGGAATTTATATTTAAAGCAAATACATTCACGACATCAGTTTTATGGCTATTTATTTATTTTTAAGTCTTTATTTCACGAGGGTAACACGATTATTAAACCTCCCAGTTACTCTATCTGACCATGGCCCTCGAAAAGGAAAAAGTTAACTAGGCTTAAAGATATATTAAAAACTATACGATCTACAATAAACAAGCAAAAAATAACCTAGGCAGAAAATGGACATGATAGAAATTAACATAATGATTAATAATTTACAGTTTATTAGATTAGTGGAGCGTGCGCAGAGTAGGTCTTCAAGATGAGCTACAGAGTTAAATTTGTTGAATTAGTGTTAAATGCTGATTTAAAGACAACTCTAAACAGGAACATTCCTCAGGGGGGAGGGGAAGGGAGAATATTGTGTACTTCTGCCATTCAAAATGGTTGCCCTACGTCACGTGTTCATCCGGAAGGCACCCAGTCCCCGAAATAAATCCCCCTTGAATAAAACAAAAAAAATGGAGATCTAGGCTTACAAGATTATCTTCTCTGTCTCATATAATCTTTACTTCCCTATCATCAACATGATTTATCTTTCATCGACTGAGCACTGAGTTGCCGTGGGATTTGTAATCAGAAAGAAACGACATGCTTCAGAAAAACTTTTTATCTCCTTGGTTTCGGAGTATATTTTTCCTCAGAATTTTACTGAATAAAACAAATTAGCAAAAAAATCTAAAAATTTAAAATACTATTTTTTGAAAATAGTTCTTTTAGAAAATAATTAAAGTAAAAAATTTTAAATAGAAGAAAATCTACACGTAGGACGTCGGGAGATACGAACTAAAATAGGATGGTAAAACAGTTCGCTCAAAGTGAAAAAAACTGTCTTATTTTGCCATGAAAGGAAACTTTTCCCACATCTCTATGGGAACGCGAAATAAGACGTTTTTGAACCAAGGCGCTTAAGGGATTATCAGGCTCATTTAAAAGTAATTATCTCATTCAGCAATTTTTAGCTCGGTTCATTACATGTCCACACCTCGAAAGTCGTATCTTAAAATTACCTAAAGTGGAACATCAAAAGTTGGACTTTTTTTCTTTTTTTATTCATCAGTTTTCTACCAGCTCACAGCTGGTCAAATATACGCGTTATCTATAACACGCGTAGTTTTACTATTTATTCTATTAAAATTGCATCGTCTGAAAAAAATGACATCTGAGCCAATTTATCTGTCTCTTTCAGTTACAAGATGAACAGACGTCAGTTTTTGACAAATAGTTTTGAGTCTCTTTTCTAGAAGCGAAAACTTCAACTTGCAAATGGTTTCAAGTATACCAAGGGCCTCTGTGCAAACGCCTTCCTCGACTAATGGACTGAGTGAGTAACCAAATTTTACCAATTCTTTAACCAACATTTCCTCTTAAACCAGTTTGGAGGAAATACCATTTAGTGAAGGGAAACACGAAGAAACAAGTTAAGTAAGTTTGGAGAAGCAAGTGGGGTTCTTAATGTTGAAACGGCTCGTATTTTTCCTTGGTTACGAGATCCACCAACTGAATTGCTCATTTTTATATGTAAACGAAGCCATTCTTTGTATTCCATATCGAATCTCCACTAGTCCAGCGCCGTATAATCGATCTGTTTTCAAAACAAGATACCTACTTTACTTTCCAAAATGTCAATAGCAAAAGAAAGGTTGACACGAAAGGCAAGTAATGTTAATACAGCATACGTACTTTTTTAGAAAAAWTTTTTTTTGCTTGAATAACATCTTAAAAGGATGGCATTCGGTGTCCTTCGTATAATCAGTTTAAGGTAAGGAAAAGTAGAACTTTGAAATTCAAGAGATAATTTATTTTATTTATGATAAGATAGTCAGATTTCTGAATTGGACGATTAGAAAGAACTCACTTTTTATGTTCATGTATATTATCCTTTACTTTGTTTTTATCCGATATGTTTTTTACGAGAAAATAATTTACGAAGATGTCCGCAAGGTATTCGGGAATTCGTGGAACTTGGAACTCTTTTTAACAGTATTTTCTCCTCAGCTTTTCTACAATTCACCGGACTTTTTGCCATGAGGTTTTACCAAACCTTTAAAAATTAAAGCCCATTGCTTTAGAAATTCCAATTTTAACCAGCTTTACATAAACACAAAAATAGGTAAATACTAAGTATTGAAGCTAAACCGATTTTCGGGTCTTTTTTATTATCACTAAGTCGCGAAATCTAGAAAATTAACACCCGGTCTTGTTTTGAATAATTAAACACGATGGAGTTAATTTCCCTGTCAATAAAAATACGAAGTTTTTTTCGCCTAAAGTAAGTTATTTTTTGTTTGCTGAAAGTAGTGTTTTGGTTTCCTGCAGATTCAAGTCTAATTCGGGCGTTTTTTTAAACCCAATGTTGGAATTAAAATCGACATTGCATGGAATCATAAGTACTGTAGATGAAAGTCAAGGAGGTTCCTATTTTCACCTGCCTCTATTTATGATCTGATCTTTACGAATTGCACTAAGATTAAAACTACAGCATTTAAATTAAAAGTACAGAATCCATATTTTTTGCTTTAATAGTTATGACAAAATATCTAATATAGATAACATGAATGAAAACTATTTTTTGGTTCTCAGTAAAACGCCATTCTACCCTGCGAGCAGAGTCTTCTTTTAACTCCTCTACTCCTCGCCCGTAGAGGAGTTAAAAGGAGACTCTGCTCGCAGGGTAACGCCACTGTTCCAGTCAGTCAAAATGAAATGCTAGAGTAAAAAAAAATTTTCGTCGGTCTTGTCTGACTTTTTTCCCCTCGTATTTTTTTTCATTTTGAACTTCTTTTAATAAAACATAGAATCAATCCATTTCTAATAATAATAATAATAATAATAATAATAATAATGATGATGATGATAATAATAATAATAATTTTATTCTTGCGCATCACATAAATATCTCAATGCTCTTACAGTAGAATTAAATGAGTGAGAGTTCTAGTGTTCCGGACACAATTTGCACTGTTAACTTTGGAGGGTTTTGTATATCGCTCTATTTTTCTTTCTCGTTTACTTTTTTCTTTCCATCGATAAAAACAGTTTTTACTTGATAGTCAAGATGATAAATAACGCGCATCCGGGAACTGACTTTCTCCTACAAATGATTAATCTTAAAAATATCACATTTGAGGAGAGTAATCGAAATGACTGGAACATTTCGTTTTGCGAAAAATGCATTGCGCACCTACAGTTGGAATCCATCTGGGCCTTTTAATTTCAAAACAAAACAAAACAAACTTGATTTTCTCTATCGCTTTGTTTTGATTTTGCTAGGTTTTCTTCTTCTCAGACACTCAAAAGCTGAATCAAAAACCTGTTTTTTAATTTTCCAATTAATCGTGTCAAGTGCGCGGAAATATTTCAAATCAATTTGCGACAGACAGAATCGCGAAACTTTGTACAATACTCACTGAATCAACGAAATATCCGGATCATGTCTCTTGTACAAATGCGACATTGTTACGAGAACGGAACCATTAATCCCTGTATAACCAAGGCCAATTGTAGCGACTCGTAAGTAATTAATATCCGTTTCTAAATACATCCTGAAATGCTATGCCTATCTGTGTGGAATAAATGGAGCCATAATGGGAAATGATTCTGCGATCTTTTGTGAATCTCTTTGAAGTTGTTTTGGAGTTTTCGTAGTCTTTATGGAGTCTTTTTATCTTGTCTTACAGCCTTCCTGGAGTCATTTTCAAGATAATTAAGTTTTTGAGATGAGATGTGTTCGTGGACACAATCCGGCCTTTGAAGTTTGATTGAAAGGTACCTGAAGAAGTTTAGTATCATCTTTGTCGATTTACTTTTGATTCTTATACCTAGATTTCACGTTCATTGTTTAATCTTTTGAGCAGTTTCTTTCGAGCTTAGTACATCAAATATAAGTTCAGCTTTTGAACGTTCCTATTTCAGGCAACATGTCGTTCCCTTGAGTATCATTTCTTTTCACTCCTCTAACGCATGACATCAAAAATGAATCGATGTGCATGTGACTGAAACAAAAATACTCAACTGAGGAAATGACATTTGTGGCAGTCTGAAATGGGAAAACATTACATAACTAAGCTATTATTAGGTCTCATGACTACACTCGACTTTTACAACTGATAAATTAGGACGTTCTTATCCCTTTTTCTTGTAATATATCCGGTATGCTTAAGTTTTCGGAATCCCGCCAAACCAGTGTATATTCAAAGAGATACGGTCCGTAGGAATGATACAAACCGCGATTCAGTATCAATTGTAATAGCGCCATTGAACCTTGAATAAAAATGGCGCTTTAAAAATCCATTATTAATATTGAATTCTACTTTGCGTTCACGATTTCCTTTTGTAATTTATGATTTCTTTGTCAATAGAGCCCTGGTTATTTGCAAGTGACGGATCCTGAAGGCGGGAGGCTTCCCATCTCTTTCACCGTCGCTTCTTTTAGGGCTCCATCAAAAATTGCATTAAGACTTCAGCGCATGCGTGGACTTTAATCTAGCATTCTAATCGATAAGTCCTAAGATTGCTCTGACTTAAGGTATTTCACGATAGGGGATATTTAGCAAACTGCCAAGCAGATTCGGAGGCTCTCACCAATGCGACCCGGGTTCGAGTCCCGCCGGGCTCGGTGTCTTAAGTGATTAGAATTGCTTGTTGGTTCTCTCCTGTGCTTTCGAGGGTTTTTTTTTTCTGTGTTCTCTGGTTTTCTTCTCTCCTCAAAAATCAACTTCTGGATTCCAATTTGTATTCAAGTAGATGAAGAGCCACTCTGTGCTTATCCCACTAGTGCTAAACCC